CTATTGTCGTAGCTCAATGACCTAATTATTTAGCCTGAAGATCGATATCCTATTTAAGACCGCATAGCACCTTATTTAATCCACTGTCGCTTCGATAAGTTACTATGTCACATGAAATAGGTTCAGTTATTAGGGTTTCACTGTCGCTAATAACCTAATTAACTACAAATCGATGTATTGGTGGCCAGTCAACACAAAGCATTAAGCAATTTCATGCAATAGAGATTGGAAGAAAAGAATCATAAATCAATCCATCAAATCAAGAAATAGCTACATCCTATGGTGTTTCCCCCAGAAATTGGGGTTTAGTTCATGACGAAATTAAGATAAATCGATAGGGTTTTGTTCATCGTGTTACGAAGCAAAGCAAAAGAAAAACAAATACTGAAATTTTCTTCCCTGCTCTGCACTCGATCGCCCGCGCAAGCTGCTTCTCCGCTGCGCCTGCTCCCTGTCCTTTTTTTTCCCAAGAGAATCCGTCCGCTACTAATTCCCCCCTCTTTTAATTCCGCCAGCTTCCCTTTTATTTAATTCCAAAAACAAGCTTCCGTGTCCCTCCCCAAAGAGAATCTCCAGCCGCCTCTTTTTCTTTTAATTCCTTTCTTCCGCCCAGCAATTGAATTTCGTGGCCCGTAGCCTTTCGTGGCCCATGTCATTAATCCCCATCCAGCTGGGCTTTAAGTCCAGCTTTCGAGAATTGTTTTGCCGGTGCAACTTCTTTTTCGTGTTTTCTTCACCTGTAATACATCAAACTCATGGCACTAGGCAGTAATGGTTTTTCAACCATTCTCGGGTTAGCGAGCCCTAAAATAGCACCAATTGGCTAAAACATACCACGGATAATCACATAAAGTCCAAGAATCCAATATGTTAAAGCCGAATATCACCTCTCGATATGGCGGCACATATGGAAGCTCCGTTGTGCGGAAAGAGTTAGGATTTTCATCTGGTTGGTGGTTAAAGGCAGACTGACGACAAACAGTTTGAGAAAACACAGACATCTCCCAGCTGATGATAATGCCCTCTCTGTAAAGATGTTGTCGAAACCCAGCTCCACTGCCTTCGGGACTGCACAACCTCGAAGAATATCTGGCAAAGAGTGGTACCCGACCAGTAGCAACAGAAGTTCTTCGCGGAAGCTCAAGAAAATTGGTTCATGAACAACTTAAATAACACTTCCGCAGGAGAGTGGCTAGGGGAATGGGCGACTTTCTTCTCATTAATAGCTTGGTACATTTGGAAATACAGGAGTGAGCATATCTTTCAGGGAAAACAACTGGTGAATTCTTCCCTAATTAATTACGTCACTCTCAAGGCAAAGGAATGGATAGAACATGGGAAGCAACAAACAGATAGGAGGGTCAAAGAGGAAGACTCCAGAGGGAAGAGCAACTGGTGAGCTGGATTCCACCCCCTCCGGGATGGATTAAATTAAATACAGATGGAGCGGCTCAAGGCGATTCGGGATTGGCTTCGGCAGGAGGAGTACTCTGGGACAATGACGGAGACTGGATGGGCGGATTGTGTTATAAAATTGGATCAGGTTCGACCATTTTAGCTTAGCTCTGGGGGATTCACCAAGGTCTTACCTATGCCAGGAGTCGGGGAATTCAGTTTCTGATGATGGAGAAGGACTCAAAGCTTGCAATAGATCTCATCAACAAAAGAGAGGACGCGGTATACCCTCATTCGACCATTCTCGCAGCAATTCGAAGATTGTTGTCTCAAGATTGGGTAGTGAAGCTAAATCATACATATCGTGAAGGGAATAGAGTCGCGGACTGGTTCTCGAAGCACAGTCTCGTCTATCCCTTTGGTATGCATGATTTAGCCGATCCACCACATGAGTTAAACAAAATCATAAGAGAGGATATAATTGGTATTAGTTTCCCTCGTTTGGTCATTAGGGACAGTTGATTTTCCATGATTCAGCTGCTACTTTTTTGGACTATCTGGTTTGTGTCGAGGGATGCCCTGCTACCTGTTTCTGCAGGGCCTCCTAGGTAGCTGTTAAGTTCTACCCGGCTTCGTGCCTCCCCTTAATAAAAAAAATTTAACTTTTCATTATTGATTATGATGGTCTTGTCGTTTTCCAGTTTACTTGGCAATATAGTGAACCTGTATTTGTCAAAAAAGGAGAATAAAGATTATCATGAGTTGCTATAATATAATATAATATAATATAATATAATATAATATAGGGTTATAGGTATAATATGCCCCTCTATTATGTCGTTTTATCAAACATGTCCCTCTATTTTTTTACATCAAACATACCCCTATATTTTGGAAAAATTTATCAAACATACCCTTTTATTAAAATTTTGATCCAAAAACCGTGTAAGATGACTAGGATGCCAAATCATCTTACACGTCATCAACTAGTCATCATATCATTGCCACATCATTTTGAATTATAAAATTAATTAATTTTGAAATTAAAATATAAATAATATTTTTTTTCTAATTTTTCCCTTCCGTGCACATCATCATCATATCATCAGCATCATACCATTACTATATGGAGGTTCTACATCATAACAATTTAATTCAGAATTTCCAGCCTTCTGAGTGATTGTAGGAAGGATAGTTTTGTCATTTTAATTATTAAAAAAAATTGTTGATAGAGAGAAAAAACGCGGACAAAAAAGAGTCTGCCACCACTCATAAATCATAATAATCCACTAACAAAATTATAAAAAGTAACTCTACAGGGATTAGGTTTTGTTTCTAAGAAGGGCAAATCTTTACTTTTAATTATTAAAAAAACCTATTTATATACGTTGGGCACTTCTTTGATTGTTAGGATAATATAGTATATTATAATGGGTATTGATATATGCTGGAAAGGTTTAACATAGGCTTATAATAGATATAAAAACAATCAACAATCTTAATTAAATATCTTAAATTAGAAATATATTTTTCTTTATGAAAATGATCTACTCATTGATCAATTGATGAGTATTTTGATTGATAAATGCGTATATACCATGTCAATGTTCCATAATGTTAATGAACTCCATACTTGGAGTGATTATAAACAACAATTACAAAATTATTTTGATAATAATTCAACATAACTCGAATTGATTTATAATCACTCCAACTATTTTGATTATTTAACATTACAAAATTATTGTTTGCCAGCTGAGTTTTTATAAATTAATTCAAATAAATCAAAGCTGAAGAGAATTGATCAACCAGCTGAATATTTATAAATTAATTCAAATAAATCAAATTGAGGAAATGGAGTTCAAGTTCGACATCAAGCTCCCAGACTACAACATCAAGAACTCCATAAGTGAGTACCCATTATTAAATATAAAAAAAGAATTAAAGAGAAAATCTCATAAAATGTTCAAAACCTGGACAAGGTAAATTTTACATGCACAAAAATTATGTTTCATATTTTCGAATATTTTGCCATTAAATTTTTTATTTCAATTGAATTTTTCGAAGGGAGTGGATCCTGTAATCGAAATAATTACGATTTTGAGAAGACGAAAGAGATTGTTCATGGTGGAGATATATGTTTCAGTAATGACGAGAAACAACAAATCATTGACAATATTCATGACTTAGATGTGATCAATTTTCTTTAGTGAAAATGATGGATCATATTTATGAATATTTTACTATTAATTTTTTGCTTTCAATGAAATCAAGAAGAAGAAATACTGTTAATGGTGGAGGCAATGGATCCAATATTCGAGATAATGACACATTTGAGTGATTTCAAGAAGGAAAAGAATAATGATGGTAAAGATCCCAATTTAAGTATGGTTTGATAAGCATTTTTAGTTAGAAGTCGGTTTCTTGATATGAGTTTAGTTTCTACTTCCATCCTTACATTGAGAATCAATTAGGATGTCATTAAACTCTGTAATGTATGTTCATATTTTATTTTTTCCACTAATTAGATTATTTGAATTCTTTTATAATACCAAATAAAACGTATATTTGCCTTGAACAATGTCATTGAGAAAAGTAGTCCAACGGACGGGCCCCAATCTTAGTTGGGTTTTCCCTAAGACCTTGTAGAGAGGTTAATCGAGCTGCTGCTAGAGATGAGTGAAAGCGGATCGGATCAGTCTGCACAAGTGAGCACAATCCAAGTTTTGTGAAACAATTGAGTTGAGGTCGGCGTCGCATCATCGACGGGCTTCTTCTTCGTCACCGTGGCCGACAACGGCTGGTGATGAGAAGAAGATTTGTTCTAAGGCCTTGACAGAAATTTTGAGAGGGAAGCCTAGCGAGAGAATCGACGGCTGAGGAGCTTGAGAGGATGGAGAGGTGGCCGCCGATTTGAATGAGTCTCCTGGGACCCTAAATCTAATTTGGGGTTTTCAGGAACCCCAAAATGAGCATTTTAATTTTTTTACTTTTTTTTTATCTTAGATCCACGTCGACACCCACTAAGAAAATGTCAGGCATTTTCATCAGTACAGTCCTATCGTTACCTGACATGACACCGTTAAAGAAATAGATGGAAGTTGCTATTTTATATTTTTGGATAGTTATGGTTATATTTGTCACAATTGTGAAAATTATAATTGTACAAGTATTTTCAATTTTGCCTTCTTTTACTGGTGGGCTTTACTGCCTCCAATGATGGTTGTTTGGGCCAATTAATTCAAAGCCCAATACATAGGTAAAAACTAATATAAGTTATTGAACTGTAACATCATATATTAATATGTACATCTCATACAAGGCTTAGTTGAATTGATAACTATACTCTCCTATCTTTCCAACCTTCTGCTCCTTTGCTAAAGAAAACAAAGGGAAAAAAAGGGGAACAAAAGAAGAGTGGCAGAAATAAGAAAGCAAGGTGGTGGTGAACGAGCTTTATAGTTCGGCCCAATTCATCAATACTTGTGTTCCCTAATTATCTGGGCCTTGAGCATCTCCTTGACTTGAGGCATCATGCTTCATCTTTCTTTCGTAATAAGAAAGCATATACCTGCAATCGCTGAAGAAGAAAGTCTCTTCTTCTGTTACACATTATTATTTTATTTTATTTTTTTGCATTACAGGAGGCCGAAGGCCGAAGAAAGAGATTACAAGGGGGGCGCCGAGAGGTTGGGAGGAGAGGAGAAGTCCGCGACTACACGTCGCTCGAAAGTGATACCCATGTTGTCCTCTTGCAGAATACTTCCTAAGCCTTAGGGCGGGTTCGCAAGCTCATGCATACCGTAGGGATAGACGAGACTGTGCTTCGAGAGCCAGTCCGCGACTCTATTCCCTTCCCGGAATGCTCACCAGCCAATCTTGGCTTAGTTTCCTCCGAATAGCTGAGAGTAGAGTGGAGTAGGGATGAACCTGGTCCAAACGGTTGTTAATAAGCTCAATAGCTAGCCTCGAGCCTGATTCCATCTTCAAAGTTCGACAGCCGGTGTTCCAAGCAACTTCGAGACCATGAAAGACAGCCCATAATTCCGCAAGAGCAGCAGACGCCGTTCCTATATTGCCCACAAAACCAGAGACCCAGCGTCCGGAGCTGTCTCGAATGCAACCCCCTGTACCAGCTGGTCCTGGATTACCACAAGAGGCACCATCAACGTTAAGAGTATACCAACCTTGAGGAGGGGGCTTCCAGCCAACATTCTGCACCACCCTAGTAGCCGTTCTAGATCTGCTGCCAGGCAAAACCATCGGAGCATGCCAAGCCTCATGCCAAAGTTTCGCTTTAGCAATGATGGAGTGAGCCAAAGAAGGAGGAGAGAGGACGGCCGCAAGGCCCTTGAAGCAAGCCTCACATCTACTTTTCCAGAGACACCAGGTTGCCACCCCAAAGAAAGCAGCCCACGGAATCCCGGAAGGACCTGCTTCTGAGTTGCTAAGATTCTCACGCAGCCAATCGCGCTGCTCTGCACTGAAGAAGGAATGCTGTTTCGCAGTAGGGACATGCCTTCTCCAGAAGAAAAGAGCTGGGGGGCAATCCCAAAGCGCATGGAGAATGCTCTCAGGCTGTCCCAGGCAGCGGACACAATCCGGGTTAGGAGCTGATTTCCTGCAAAAACGAAGTTGATTAGTTGCAATTCGACCAAGACACGTCAGCCAGAGGAAGCTCCTAACGCGCTCCGGAACCGGTAAGCTCCAAATGATCTTCCAATATTTCTCGTCTGGGTCTGCATCGTGCTGGTTAAGAAGATTGTAAGCTGTTTTAGCCGAAAATCTTCCATCGGAGGCCGCATTCCAGAAAATAGTGTCATTCTCTGTCGAGATAGTGTCCACGGCTGTGCTAAGGATCTTCATCTGGACCTCCTGGGGAAGAAGGTCCGAGTAAAGGTCGGTACGCCAAGCTCCCTCCTGAGTCACAAAATCCGCCACCACGGCGTCCTCCATTTCCCCCGGAATTTGCCCAACCGCTACATCTTTGAGAGGTACCTGCAGAATCCAAACATCGGACCAGAACTTAGTGCGTCTACCATTCTTAATGTTCCACGCACAACCTCTATGAAGCAAATCATCGGCCTTAGATATGGTTCTCCAAGTAAAAGAACTTCCCTGAATTGGGCGGATGATGCCTAAGTCCCTTTGATCCCTGCTGTATTTATCGCGCAGAACTCTGCACCATAAGCTGTCCGTCTCCTTGAGAAGTCTCCAACCTCCTTTGGCGAGCATCGCCAGGTTCGCCTGTCTGATGGATCTCAGCCCAGCTCCACCTTGTCTCCTCGGGAGTATCATCTTCTCTCAGGCTACCAGATGCATCTTGGCTGTGTTCTCCTCTTCTCCCCAAATGAAATCCCTGTTCAACTTATCGATACTCTTGCACACACCAACAGGGATTAGTTCAGTATTCATGTGATAGGTAGGGAGAGACGAAGTTACCGAACGGGCCACGATGAGTCTTGCCGCTAAGGATAGTCGACGAGCTTTCCACGGGGCAAGCTTCTTTTGAATCCTTAAGAGAAGTCCTTGATATCTCCCTTTGGTGATCCGGCCATGAATGGTCTCAATGCCCAAGTATTTCCCAACTCTTGCTTAAGAGGAATGCCCGCCTTTCTGCTCAAGAGATTAGCTGCAGTCCGGTTGACGTTGGGGGAGATGTACATGATTGACTTGTTGTAGTTAACCCGCTGCCCAGAGCTAGTGCAGAAGTCCCCCAAGCATTCTTGGATCACCTTAATCTGCCGAGACTCCGCTTCTGCAAAAAGAAGCAGATCATCTGCAAAGAAAAGATGAGTCAGAGGTGGGCCGTCCTTAGTAAGGCGGATGGCTTTCCACTGCTTATTAAGAACGGCCTCATCAATCCTGTGTGAAAGACGCTCCATACAAAGAACAAAAAGATAGGGGGAAAGAGGATCTCCCTGTCGAACGCCACGGGAAGGAGTGATAGGTGGAGAATGCTTTCCATTCCATAAGATCTTCATCTGGTTCTGCTCGACACAATGCATGATACAGCTTATCCAGGAGCTAGGAAGGCCAACCTCTTTCAAGGTATCTCTCAGGAACTCCCATCTAAGCATATCATATGCCTTCTCAAGATCGATCTTAAAAACCATCCCTCCCTTCCTTCCTCTTCTCTTATTCAAAGTATGGAGGACTTCCTGGACAATTATAATATTATCCGAGGTCTGTCTTCCTGGGATGAAGCTGCTTTGCCTGGGGGAGATCAGCTTCCTCATGATCGGCTTAAGACGGCTCGTCATCGCCTTAGTGATCGCCTTCAGGCTGACGTTGTTCAGAGAAATCGGCCTCAGCTGAGTAACCAGCTCAGGACTGTCAACCTTGGGGATGAGCACCACTGTAGAATCTGAGACCGCCGCTGGGAGGTTCCCAGTCGAGAAGAACTGAGTCGCCATATCCGCTAGAGCCCTGCCAGTTGTGCTCCAAGACTGTTGATAAAAAGCCGCCTGAAAGCCATCCGGGCCTGGAGCCTGGAAAGGCTTCATATCGAAGATTGCCCTATGAATGTCCAACATAGTAAAAGGGCGCAGTAAAAGCATCATCTCAGACTGACTAAGCCTAGGGAAGGCTTGCTTGGGGAGCTTATCCTCATAGTTCAAATCATCCTGCAGGTAGAGGTTAGCAAAAAAATCAAACACAAGAGAGGCAAGCTCGTCAGGGTCGTCAATCCAAACCCCGTTCGCATCTTTAAGGGCCCCAATCTTGTTGCGCCGTCTCCTGATACTGACTTGTTGGTGAAAATAGGCAGTGTTGCGTTCGCCAAACTGAACCCATCTCTCTCTAGCACGTTGGAACCACAACAGCTCCTCCTGCTCCAGAACTTTATCCAGCTCTTCCGCTAGCCTGGAATGAAGCTTGGCTAAGCCTGGATCGAAAGAATTAGCTAGGCGGACCTCAACTCCTCGAATACGAGCACAGAGCCTACGCTTCCTCTGCTAGATATTCCCAAAGACATTGAGGTTCCACTCTTTATGCTTAGCTGTAAGCTCATCTAAAGCTTCCGGAAAGTTGGCGTTTACATCCCAAGCTCCTGCAACAAAATCCAAAAAATTGGCGTGAGTAAACCATGCTGCTTCGCATCTAAAGGAACGAGACTCAGGAGGAGGGTGCCCCTGGGAAGCAACAGAAGGTAAGATGGGATTGTGATCTGAATGGAGCCGGGGAAGATGGCGAACAGCCGAATTGGGGAAGGTAACATTCCACATCGGGTTGCAGAAGCTCCTGTCAATTCTGCTTGCTTTGTATGAACTGCCCTGCTCCCCCCTAGTCCAAGTAAACCGAGGCCCCGAAAACCCCAAGTCAATCAGCTCCGCCAGGTTGATCCGGTCATTAAAGAGGCGACACCTTCTCAAGGTAGAAGCCGACGGGGCACCACTCTTCTCTTCCGGACTCCGAATCGCATTGAAATCGCCCGTGAGCAGCCAAGGCATATTAATTGTTTTGCTTTGCTCTACCAGGCTGTTCCAAAGGGTATACTGCAGACTCGGGTGAGGAGAGGCATAGACTGCAGTGAGAAGCCAGGGAGCTTCATTCCCTTGGGAAATGTGAAGAGACAGATGCTGATTGCGGGCGGAAACCAGAGTCACAGAGAACTTCTTGTTATCCCAAAAGACCCAAATTCCTCCTTTCTTGCCGTCTGCTTCCACTCTAAAGACGTTTGAATAGCCCAGCCGGTCACAAAGAGCATTCGCAGTACACCCACTAATTTGGGGCTCTAGGAGAATCACAAAGTCTGGACGGTGGGTTTCGAGGACCATCTTCAGAGACCGCGCAAAGGCTCGGCTCCCAGCTCCACCTACGTTCCAGGACAAGATTTTGAAAGAGGTTGTACTTGACATAGAAAAATATTTAAGAGTGAAGAAAAGAAAAGGGAAAGGGACAAGGATGTTCAAAAGGAACGGGCTCACCAATTAGGTGGAGGGAGTCGCCGCTCGATTCTTAGGAAGGGTAGTCACCGGAGTAATTCTGACCGGCGAATCTACTTTCTTCAAATCCATCGCTACTGCTTCAATCCCCCCCTTGGTCCAGTCATTTATCTCTTCAAGAGTAAGGGTGGCCAGTCGAGATTTCGTTTTGCTCTTCTTCTCCTTCATCGGAGACCAAATCCGCAGCGGCTTGAGAGGGTTCTGCTTCATCGGGGAGCTCTTGCGCGATCTGGGTTTTGAAGTTTTATTCTGCTTCTGCTTCCCTCCCAGCTCCTGCCGCTTGGAATTTGTCTCTGATAGAGGTGTAAAGGCGGGCTGTTGGGTCTTGATTATCTGCATGTTAGTGCCATTGGGCCCTGTCAAGAGTTGGATGGGCATATCCGCTGCTGGACTGATTTGGCTTGAGGTGTTGGTAGCGGGCCCAGTCTTTTGAGAAAGGGGAGCAGGTGTGGAGGCTGGCCCGCTAGTGCCATGTGAAGAGGAGGCCTCTGACGGGCCGGGAGAGGCCTTAGGCCCGATGATGTTGGACAGAAAAGGGCCTGGGACCAGTAAACCTTTAGAGGTCGGTGGACCCGCCAATCCCACCTTCTCCTTACCTTTTTTTGTCTCTTCCTTGCTTTTGCCAACAGTCGTTTGTTTATTCTCTGAGATATTTGTCCGTTGGGTATTCTGAGGATTTTGGTGAGGCCGCCCCACACTATCTCCACTTTCCTTTCTTGCCAAATTATTCTTTCCATTCCTGCTCCCATTCCCCTGATTCAGCTTACCTTCCTCCGATTCCTCCTTCCCTTTCCGATTCTGATCCCGATTATTCCGTCGACTTTTCTTGGTAACTATCATCCAAGGACCGAAACTTGCGCTGGGTTCCGCCACCGTCCCCGCGTCGGAGCTGTCCACGCCCAGATCTCCGGCCACCGTCAGAGCACCCATTTGAGGAGTTAATCGACCCTTTGGGCAGGAGGCCGACGGGTGACCCACCTTGCCGCATTCGAAGCACACATCTGGAAGGTTTTCGTATTCAACCTTCTGCCATTCCCCGTCGATGTGAACTCGAGGGATAAGGGGCTTTCCCAGATCGATCTCCACAGCCAAGCGCGCGAATTTGGTTCTTTGCTGATTCAATGTGTGGTAATCGAGTTTGATGGTGCGCCCAATTAGGTTTCCAATAGAAGTTAAAACTTCTTTGTGGTAGAGATGGATCGGAAGGCCGGGAAGTTGGAGCCAAACAATCATCCTCTTCGGAAGGGGATCTGAGATTCTGAATTTTGGAGTCCACTGATGCACCACCACATAGTGATCGAAAATTGTCCAAGGTCCTTCGGTGAGAGCTTTGAAATATTCTTGATCGTTTTCGAGCTTCACCAGATAGCAATCATGGTCCAGGTCTCGCACTTTCATATGCCCTGTTGGCCGCCATTGAGCCCGGAGGCGAGAGCAGAGGGTGGTGAAGCCAACTTTAATCCCCAAGAGCCGGACCACAAGAGTTCTCTGCCAAGGAGCACAGAGTTTGTTCTTGAAGGTGGCCGAGATTTGTAGGGCTGGCTCCCCATTGAAATCTCCTGCAATGAGATCATGTTCTCCAACTGGGGTCCATTGGTTGCCTGGCGCTCCTGGATTTTCAGAGTTTTTTATTCCGGAAATTGCTGCGGCGTAAGAGAAACCTCCGAGACTCGTCGGCCCGGGTGAGTTCTTGATCATGTTCGTAGGGGAGGAGGTCTTCAATACCTCCGTTTCCATATCCTTTGATTGACTGGAGGTCTGATTGGTCGCTGAGGTCGAGTCAACCGCCATTTCCGTGGAGGAGGAGATCGCTTGCAGATCTGGACTAGGTGTCGTAAGGTCCGGAGGAGCCACCAGCTGGGGAAAATCCGGCGGCCGACCCGAAGGGATGGTCGCCGGCGTCGGAGATTGAATTCGTGTCGGATCGGTTGAGAGCATTTCAGAGCATTTCTCCCCTTTCACACATTATTATTTTATAAAGTATTACATAGGACCTGTAAATGGAAACATTCATGTTTCATTATTGACCATGTCGGTCTTGTTGTTTCCCGTTGACAAGCGCACCTGTATTTGTCAAAGAAGGAGAATAAAAGTCATCATGAGTTTGCTGCCCACAAGGCATTAAGTTAGTTTTCAAATTAAGTGAATATATTAATCACAACAGTTATGCCCCGTTTTAAAGGTATTAAATACATTGATATTTAGATATAGCCAAAATCAGAGAAAACTTGCATACTAAAAAGAGTGTAATTTATAAAATATTCTACAATAATATTAATATTGTTAGCATCTAAAGTTAATCTCCATTATCAATGCAATAACATCAAAAACAAATTACAATCCTCGTAAGCACCGGTACTTTTAGATACAAGTTGAATTTGTACCATAAAGATTAAGGTACAATATCAATTTGTATCATTAAAGAATTTGTATGAAAATGTATAGGTACAAATTGAAGTCGTACGATAAGTAACTTGTACCACAATGTT